TAGGTGTCCGGATCGGGTAGGTGGTGCCTTGGGCGGCGGGAGCGCTCGCCAGTGATGGATGGCCCGTTTTCCTGGGATGGCAGAGCGTCGCCTTGGCAACGCTGGCGGCCCTGCTGAGCACCACATCTAGCTCCTAGGGCACAAAATCCGGGCACCATAGGGAGACGTGCCGGCCGATTTCCAAGGATGTGTGACTCTGTGTGTGCTACTTTGCCACCCCCTTGCAGGAGGAGAATTTTTCTCATGCTGCTCTTTCCATGGGGGTCATAACCAGAAACCCCCACTCTGTCAGGCCTCCCTACACTGCAGGCAAGTGTGAATGTGGGGGGAGAAGGACAGTGAGCGCTGGTGGCTCCTGGAACACAAAGCACGTGGTGTCTGCCTGCCTAGACAGCCAGCGTGAGTGCACAGCCACTTCTGCGCTTGGCTGGTATCCTGCAAGGAGGCTCTGCCATGGCAGCGACCTTGGGGGGGTTGTTATATTTGGGTGTGTGTTTTGGGGGCTTTTGATGTCCTTTCCTAAGCAGACAGCGCCCTGGGCTGCACTTGACTCTTCAGCGTGCAGGGCGATCTGTGGGGATTCACGGCTCCCAACAGCTGCGACTAGACCTTGAACGGAAACTCCTCATGCGTGGCCATGAAAGAGGGAATCTGTTCTTCTTCTGGGTAACTGGTCRAAGAACAAAAGCCGTTTTATTTCTTCCTAGCTGCGAAGGTCTACCTTAGATTAAGTAAACTGTTCCCTAAGGGAGAAAGTGTCCAGGTACAGAATGTTCACAAAGGAAATATTCAAGGTGTCTACACAAGTCTCTAAAGTGTTTGCTTTTCAAGTAGAAAGGCCAGGGCAAAAAATAGAATATTATTTTCTAATTTAAAAGCAAAAATATCTCTCGCAGGTGGCAGGAAATAAATTGACCTTCTTCACGGTTGATACTGCAGTCCATTAAGTACCCAGGCAGAAAGCAGGAGCTGTTAAAAACCCAGCCCTTTGCACAGGTACCTGCCGTTCCAAGCGCAGGGGGTGCCAGGGGCCCCTTTTGGAGGCCGTCCTGCTGCGCGCAGACTGGTGGCACTGCAGCCTCCCGGGCATTTGAGTGCTCCTGGGTTTCTGGTGACACCGGGCCAGAGCCTTGTGAGGGTGGAGTTGAGCGGTGGAGCATCCGCTACCCCTGCCCTAGGGCAAGGGTGCTCCCATAAGGGCTTTGGTTTCTCTTTTTTATTTATTTGTTTTTTTCCTTATGTGTCTCTGACGTGCTTGGTTTCCAGGAGCACAGCATTTACTTGGAATATTTTCATTTTATTTCGGTAGTGGTAACACCTCTGTTCTGTCTGTGATTGAGGAGTTTTAACCACTCGAGCTTATTGGGGAGGGCACACACTAAGTTTCTCCGTTCCCAAAGGTACTGAGCTGAGACGAAAGGGTGCAGAACTGTCCAGAAGGTGCAAGGACTGAAGACTCCAAAGTTGGCTCTCATCGGGGCAGCTGTGACCTGGAAATAGTTGAGGAGCAGTAAATAGGCACCCACCTTGCTGTTCCTTTGAGTCATTTCTTTTTTCAGAGCAGAATTGTGCCTTAAATAGCATCCCTCACACAAGGGAGCTGCCTAAATCAGCCCGGTCACATAAAYGGCAGCGTCTGAGCAGCAGGAAGCGCCTCGGCGCTCGCGGCCCTGGCGCGTCCGCCCCGGGGGTTTCGGTTTCACGGCAGCGGGAGGAATCCGGCGCTCGGGCGAAGACGTTTGTCCTTGGCCGTGTCCTCGCGTCACCCCAACGCTGGGGCGTCTTAATCCCGCCCGCGGCGCGCTCGGATGCGACCTCCGCATCTCGCTGCCCTTGGCCCCCTTCCCGGCTGAGGCTGCAAGAAAGACCTGCTCTGTTGCCGCCCAAAGCCTGCGCTTGGAGCAATTAGGCCTGGCCCCAGGGTAGGGGCTTTAAGTTATTGTTTCCTGAAAGAGATAAAGGCCATGGGCCTTTCAGCGTTGCTGCTCTCGCCTGCTTTGATGCTGCTGCAGTGGAGAGTGAATTGGCGCATCTGGTCGCGGAGGGGATGAGCGGGGCCAGCCCGAGCTGGGCAGGGTTCACACGGCAGCCTCTGCCCTTTGTTGTGTTTCCTGCGAGCTGAAGCTTTTCCGTAGCTCCCTGTGCGGAGCTACTTTGTATCCTCCTTGCTTTTGGCACGGRTGTTTTTAATCCTCTTGCTTGAAGTAAGCGGGAGAGCAAAGGGAATAAAACACCACGTCAAAAAAAAAATAAAGAGGGTAGTATATGGAATGGGGAAAATACATCGCAGTGAGAACGGTTGTGCTTGTTTGGTTCTAGGAGCTGGAACGTGGGGAACTGAAACTTTATGGTGTTGGTGGTGGGCTCAAAGTTAAGCCAGTACTTAGGAGCCCTCCTGAGCGGGCAGCACGCGGGTGTGCGAGGCTTTTGCTGTGTGTGGATGGGTGTTGGCGTTTGGGATGAATTTACTCATTTATTTCCCTCCCCCTGGTATAGAGGTCCTTGTCCYAGAGTCTGGGATGACAGTCTGTCTTTGTGCAGAAAAGGAGGTTGTTTTGCTAACACAGAATGTTGTTTTCTGCTTTTCTATGTTAAGCAGACTACTTTCTTTTTTTTTTTTTTTTTTCTAATCCTGCAGAGTTAATATATAGAGCACGGGTCTAGTTCTGTCAGCTGAGCAGCAGCGTTTCTTCATACTGTTACCTTCTTCATACTGTTACCTGTTTTTTTTAATGCATTTTTTMAAAGTCTGCTGTCACATGTAGCCAAACGTGTATTTTTAGTTTCTTGTTGCTTATGTTTGCTGTGACTTACCTGCCGTTAACGCGATCCCTTTCCATGCAGATATCTGCATGTCTGCGTGTGTCCCTGTCCGCTCCCGAGTTACAGGGGCGAGAGCAAGATGATCCTGTGACCTTTCTTAGGATTTTTCCAAAGGGAAGGGCTGGGAAGTGGCAGATCCAAGTGAGCTATTCATACATCTTGCTGTAATAATCACGTGCTAAGCCTGGACTCACCGTGTTCAGGTCCAGCAGTAACAGACCCTCATTCCCACTGGTGTCTGAGGCTCCGGAACAGGCATTTGATGTGCTCACGGCAGCTCCCGGGAGCATTCTTTCTAATCCCCACCCATATTTGACCTGTTCCAGCTCGTTTTTTAAGAGCTGCACCCAGCCTGTCCCTCGCTGCCTGCAGAGAGGTTTCCACACATCCTTCTGTGCTTGCAGAGCTCGGTTGGACGGGGAGTCTGGACATCAATGAATGAGATTCGTGCATAAAACTGCCCTGCTTGCAAAGCCAAGATTGATTTAGAGCATCTCTGAAACCCCAAACATATGACTGTCTAGATAGGCCTTTTCCTTCCCTTTGAAGTTGAAAACATGCCTAGCAAATCTGACGTTTGCTGGCTCTGTTCCCCACTTGTACAAAAACGCAAAGGTCCTTCTAGACCCACGGGCTGGACCGAGCTGGTGCCGCCGCCGCAAGCCGGGGCGTAGGAATCGGGGCGCTTTCCATTGCAGACTTGTCTTTAATTACCCGGGAAACTACTCGCAAATGTGGGTTTCAACAAATGCTGGTTTTTAATGCCAAGTAATTGAGCCCATGAATCAAGAGCCCCCCTGCCCCAGCGCCTGCCGCTGCTGACAGCGCCTTCCCACCCCGCTGCGCGGCGGCCTCGTCTGCCTCTTCCAGCTCCAGCGGGTTTCAGTTACCGAACAGCCTAATTGCAATAACACATCAATAATAAAGGAAGGATTTAAGCTTCCTTTTCTTGTAGCTGAAGGCTCTCCTGTTAGGTTTTAATAGCAGTCACGTGCGCAAGGTCCTGTGCCCATCAAAGGCTTGGGTAGCCCTGTTTCGAAAAGATGAAAAACARCCGGGTTTGGGGGACTCTGAAACAGCCCCATCCTCTCATCTGGGACTAGAACGGGAACCTAGAGGGGTGATTCTGCATTTCAGCGGCTCAAGGAAAGCTTGAGTTAGGAGTTTATCGGAATTTGCTTGCTGGAGAGTTTAAGTTACTGGACCTGGAGTAATTTGAGTGGTTATTGCTGGAAAAGGCAGCTGTGAGCAAGGAGTTAATCCTTTCCTTGTGCTTCCCTGTCAGCTCTGCTTTCCCTTTGGTAGATGCCCACACTTAGAGCCGCGTGGGTGACCGTGACGGGGCTGTCACTGTGCGTGGGGCTGCTTGGTAGCTCGCAATGGGTTAAATAAAGCCCCGGAGCCGGGTTCCTCCTGCTTTSTATATCAGAAAACCACCGGCTGCTCTTCCTGCCCCATCGTTTCCTCCACGAAGGGAGAGGAGGAAGGGGATTAACGTGGGGGCAAAAGCGACGCCCGCCTAGCGAAGGGTCCTGCTTTACGCCCCAGGGCTGCATGGTTGATGTCTCATGGGGGTACTGGAAGGGGGGCCTGAGGAGCCAGGCACGTAGCGCGGCGGGAGGGAGCGGGGGAGGCCACAGGGCCGGGCCGCGCCACGGGCCGGGCCGCACCGCGCGGCGGCATGAAAGCGCCGCTCTCATTGGGCGCCCGCGCGCGCCGCCCGCCGCAACGCGCCGTGCCATTGGCCGCCCGCGCCTTCCCTGCGCGGCTTCATGCGGGAAATGCCCTTTCCATCCACAATGGCTGCCGGCGCCGGCCGCGCTGTCAGTGTCCGGGGCCGCTCGGCGCGGGCGCCGCGGGGCCGCCGCCGCTCACACCTCACTCTGTTTGTCTTTTTCCTGCAGGTTGCTGAAAAGTGCCTTTCCTGAAGCCACCGCTGCTTGGATTTCTGTCTAGGGCTGCCTCTCTCCTCTCCCCCCGCATTTGCCCCCGTTTTCTTTTTAATTTGGCGTTGCTCGCGGTTCAGACCCTGAGGCAACTCGGCCCCTTTTTCCCTCCCCCTTTTTTTTTCTCCTCTCTATCGCCCCTGTTTACACACAGTTTCTCAGCCATTTTTTCCCCCCTCCCTTCCCTCGAGTATGTAGCAAATATTTTAAAAAAGCAAGAGGAGGAAAAAGAAAAAAGAGAGATAAAAAGGCAAAAAGAAAAATTCTGACATCCTTTTGCTCATGAACCGTGATTTTTAGAAGCAAGAAATAGAAGGAAAAAAAAAAAAAAAGTTTTCTCCCCAAGGACCAAGACCATTCTGCAAACTGAAGTGCTGCCAGCAGCATATGCTTTTTGCAAGAATAATTGAAACCATTAACTGGAGAGCACAGAATTCTTTTGAAAGTCTGCCAGTTATTTTCAAGTAACTTCGGCAGTGGCACAAAATATAACACTTATATTTTAACTTCTACAATTGCACTTTTAGGAGCTGGCCTCTAATTTGATTTTCAGTTGTTCTGATAAGATTTCTATTTTATGATTGGCTTTATGTTTAATCCTTGTTTAAACAACCACAATTTGACTTAAATGAAAACCTAAGTGCTGATGAATAGGAGTTTTACCAAAGCAACAAGTTAGTTATTTCTTCGCGTTTAACTTGAATTCACCTTTTTTTACCCCTTTTTTWWAAAAAAACAGATCAGCGGGAAAGATCGCCCTGACGAAGGGTGCGATTGCCTGCGTTTTAATTTTTGCTTTTAATATGGCTGTAAACGTTTCCCTGGTCCGTGACACAAAATGGCTGACGCTAGAAGTGTGTCGGGAGTTCCAGAGAGGGACCTGCTCGCGCTCCGACGCCGAGTGCAAGTTCGCCCACCCGTCCCGGAGTTGCCACGTGGAGAACGGCCGAGTTATTGCCTGCTTCGACTCCCTAAAGGTGAGGACCGGCGAGCACATGCGCTGCCTGAGGATCCCGCAGGGAGGATGCTGCCCGGGTGGGATGCGGCCCTGGAAAAGCGATCTTGTCCGGGAGCCCGCGTGTCTTTCATCCGGCTGCATGCACAAGCTGCAGGTTTTCCACAGTTTCTTAATTGGGGAAGTCGGTGGTATTAGGAGTAAGGGGGCGGGGAGCTCGATGCTTGGTCACAATTCAATTTTGGTCGAGTTCAAGGTCAAGGTGATTGCATGAAGTGCTGGACAGCTGAGGGCAGGAGAAAGCAAAGGATTTATTTTATTTATTCATTTATTTTTCATTTGTTATTGGGGTGTTTTCTGGTTGTAGCTCAGGTCGGATACGGCTGTCCTGAAATGGAGAATTTGTGTTGCGGGCAGTAAAATGAAACTGGAATGACCAAGCAGAGAACTGAAACCGTGTGCTTTCGTTCGGCGGTGCGTTCGGTACAGAGCTCTGAAATGTGCTTTTAGGGAGCAGGAATAAAGGCCGCATTTTAAGATAATGAATCAGCTCTACGTGCGTTTCCTGGAGCCGGAGTTGCAGGCGCACTGCAGCACCGTGCTGCGTGCGAGCRACGGCCACGTATCTGGAGCAGTGCTCCCAGGAAAACGGGCTCTGGGAAGAGCATTCCGAAGGGATTTGAAGTCAGGATTGCTCGTCCTGCCCGCACAGAGCCCAGCTTTGCTGCTGTGGCTCATCCCTGTGTAGCCGATTTTGCAGGATGCAAGTGGGTTTCTTATTGCCCGTGRCAGTGTTTGAGTTCCTAGGGTGGCTTTCCAACCCAGCGAGTGACAGGGCCGAGTCAYGAGAGGGCTGGGAGGAGGGCAGGGGAGCTGGGCATCCTCGGCATGGTCACTACTGTGAAGCTGTCTGGAAAGGAACACTTTTTTTTTTTTTTTTCCTCTGAAAAAGAGGCCCCTCAAAGTTGCTTTTAAAGAGGATGGTGAAAACCCCGAGACATCACACGTAGCTGGTTACTTCTGAGAGCTCTCAATGCTGTGCTGAACGTTTCCGTTAGAGTTAACAGTTAGAGTCTGCAGAAGGAATCTGATGGATCTTATAAGCTTRAAAATTCTCTCTTGAATTGTGAAGCTTTGGATTTATTTTTATGGGCACAGTGACTGGTGGAAGTTTGTGTKTGCGCAGGTTTGTATCGGGACTGAATCTGGTCTGCTGTGCATTTGCCTATTTTACTACCATTTGTGACTTCTTCATATTTTCACATTTTTGTTCCCTTTTAGCAGGAAGTTCAGGCTTCCTATTTGCATTTGGTTTTGCTCTTGTTAATCTGAGCATATGCAATGACTCCTTAGTTATACAGTGACTTTCAAATGTTCATTTGCATTGCTGGCCTGCTGACAGTGAGAGACGAAAATATTTTTATCAGAGGGGAAAAACGAAGTCATGTTCTTTGTGCCCTTGAAACTTTGAATTGGAGCCAGTGGCAGCACATATATTCTGAATGAAGAGATTAATATGTTTACATTTTATAGCTCTCCTTTCAGCTCCCAGACGAATGCTAAAACACCACGTGGGGTAGTGCGGAGCCTCGGAGAACTTGCTCTGAAAGCTGCAGGGTGGCCCCTGTGCAGTCCCCAGGCTTGGGCTGGCTCTGTATTTAAGAGCTGTGAGTTGCTCTGTGAGTAACAGTGACTGGTGTSATCCAGCCCCTGGCCCTGTTGGTTTGAGGGCAGCTTTGCGACGTGCTCAGGCCCCAGCATGAGATATGTGGGGCCCACATATTGCCCAGCTTGGATTCCAGCTGCTGGCAAGAGCACACGTTTCCTCCTGCTCAGCAGGGAGGAATGTTTTGGGGAGCACCATGGTGGGAAAGCAAAAACTGCCAAAGGAGCTGGATGATCTTTTGCAGCTCCACGTTTCCTATACAGCTGGCTGTTAATTAATGTGGGCATTGCAGCAGCCTCTTGACATGGTAGCAAATACCCGCTGTGCAGTAGCTAAGTAACCTGAACTGGCATGGGAAGAGGTTTGTCCATGGGAAGAGRCTTTGTCCAGCTTTGTGGGAGAGCTCTACCCTGCAGGATGTGCATGGGGAGGAGATATCAGGCACCACAGAGCACGCAGCCAGGAGATGATGGTGGAGGCAGTTTCTATACCAGGTTGTTCAAACAAGTAGATGTTCAAGCCCAACTCATGGTGGTATGGGTTGCTCCTCAAGCCAGTGTGAGGCTTGTGGATGAGCCGTGTGGTTCTTGTCGGACAGGGCCGGGCTGCGCCCTCACTGGYTCCGGGCTGCCACCCTGTTGTAGGGTGCAGGTCCCTCTGCCGCCTCTTTGTGCCATGGGCAGGAGCAGCCGTGGGGCCAGTACCCCCGGTGCTGCCGTGGGTGTGCATGCGTGAGCACCTTGTAGCTCCGTGGCCATAAGCAGCCCGGCGACTAACACTAGGCCTGTGTTCTTAGTCTCTGACAGTGGCTTTTGCCACGTTGCCGCCAGCCCACGGGGTCATTCATCAGACCCTCCCCAGTGTCACCACAGAATTTAGTGGTAAGATCAGGCCCCTCCGTTAATCCCCCTGCATTCCCAGACCTCCTTCCAGGAGGCTTCCATCCCACAGACATCTCCGTGCACTATTTCTCATGACCGTCCCCTCTCATGAGGACAGCTTCAGAGCTGCCTCGTGCTCTTTCCATCCCTTCCCGCCCTGCATTAGCAGAACATCTGTGTTTCTGTAGTGCAGACAGGATATAGGATGCTTGCCGCTAGTAAGTTTTCCCTGTTGTCTTGCAGCCGCCCAGGGCTTTGTTGGGAGGTTGCTTATCTGTGCCCATTGTGGAGCCTCCTGGCTTGTTTTTTTCCTTACAGAAAGCTTAAGCTTGAACAATACGTTGGAACAGGAACTTCTGATAACCCAGCATACAATGGTTTCGCCTCGCTGCTCAGGTCACAAGCAGCGTTTATGCAGTTGCTGCATCTTATTTTCCAGTCCCTTTGTAGCAGCTCTGTTTCCCTTGCAGACAGTCCGGCCACCTTGCTGAGCGGTGCTCAGATGTGAGCGTAAGGGAGAGACAAGGTTGGGGGGATCTTGGGATCCTTGGGGATATCCTTGGGAGCAAGGGTGGGATTTGTGCATAGGGGCTCCCTGGGATTGTTGTGGTTGTGAAGTACTTCTGGTGAGGAACACTGGCTTGCCATGAGGCTGCAAGTACAGGGCTGAGTCTTGCTGCCCTGGATCTTGCTGCTTCAGGGGGGGAATTTGCACGTTTGTGGGCAACAGAAGGAACCTTTCGCTAGCAGATTGATACGGAGTTTAAAAATAGTGTCTGTGAGAAGCTCTTCGCAGATTTGAGTCGGATGCCAAGAGAAAACTCTCACTCTCTACTCGCACGTTCTTCCTCATTAATTCAAACAATGCTGTTCTTGATGAATAACGTGTGTGGATGGAAGGGCAAGGCCCCGCTGCTCGGTGGAGGGCAGCGCTGCTGTCCCGGAGGTGGCCCAGGGTGACCACAGAGGCTGCTGGGCAGTGGCTCGTGGTGGGCAGCACCACCCGGGCGAGTCTCCACAGGCCTCCGAGATGTTACTCAGCCTTGCTCTTCCATCTGCAGCCTTCTGGAGCGGTGCCCTTCGTGTGCAGGGGCGTTAGGATAGACAAAACGCAGGGGATGGTTTTGAAATGACTCTCTGCAGAGAGAAACCTTCCCTGCAAGCYGATGAGGTGCCGTGAAATCGGTTACCTTTTGCTGAGGAGCATTAGCTTGAGAAACCATGAAATAGAAAATAAAATCTGAGCAAAGCAGAGAACTCTGCTATCATCGTTGCCATCTGAGAGGGCCCTTGAGATTTTTGCCTCAGCTTTTGTGTGGGTCCCAACCCTACAGTAGCTGGTGCTGCAGGGAGCTGCCTGTGCAGACTGTGTCGGGCAGCTGCAGGATGAGCTTGTCTAGCCTTAATTCCCTGTTCAGCAAGTAATTAATATGGGCTCTTCAACTTGTGAAGATGTAAGGAAGAAAGAACATTCTCTGATCACTGGAAACACAAACTGATAAGCAGGAAGCTGAGAGAAACAACACTGATTGGTAGGGATGTATTATATAAAAATATGCAGGTAGTGCAGGCCAGGTGTTCAAAAAGAAAGCTTTGATTTGCACAGCTCGCAGTTTGCAAGCTGCATTGTGGAGTCGTGGTTAAAATGCTATTTACAAGCYCAGCTTTGATTTATCTTTTTTWWTWWTTTTTTTTRAGTTGCTTTGAGTGTGGATGTTTCCATATGCAAATCAAAGTTTTGTAGAAAGGTTTTAAAGACACAGAATAGCACAGTGAAAGTCTCGGGAGTCGGGATTTTGATTTGAGGAGGTYGTATTTAAAAGAATGTGGTCATAAAGCTGCTACCTATTTCCAAACAGTCTGTGCTATGTAAAAACACACACAATAAGAGAGAGTAAGAGAGTAAGAGGCTTTGAGCGAGAGACTTGTGTGTAGGCCTGGCTCCTGCCTGTGCACTCTGTTTCTTGCAGCAGCGCAGTGGCACCAGGGAGCTCCCTGTGCCCAGAACGTCCTGGGCTGTTGGYGGGATGACTGACAGAGACGTTCATCTGGAAACCCTCTGTTTCTAACTGTCTCTGACCTCCTCCTGTCCCCAAGAGCAAGAAGGGGTTTATTGGGGCCGGCGGCTCACTTCCGATGTCCCCAGCGATGGTGTGTGACAGACCTGGCAGAGTACAACCTTCCTAGGCTTGTTCACCTTCATGGAGAATATATATGTTGTGGTTTTAATCTKCTTAACTGATCTCTCTGTGGGATAGGGGTTTGGGCAGAGTGTATTCGATTTATTGAGCATTATCTCAGGTTCCTCTGATGTGCCGGCTGTCTCACTTCGCTTCCTGGGACTTTTGTCATGAGCAAAGGACCATCCCCAGAGGGCACAGCCAGCAGCATCTCTACGGTGAACGTCGGCCAAGAGTAACCTTGGTTTGATGCTTGGAGAGACACTGGTGAAGTGCTGACTGCTGCTCACACTTG